GCGCCGTGGGTAATGGCTGAATCCTAGAATAACAGACCTCGTTTATCCCCTGACAAAACAAGATGCAGAATCAAGTCAAAACACTTTCTTATAACTGCTTATGGGAATGAGACACATTCAGATGAAAGAACGTAAAAACCTGAAACACCTTCAAATTTGATCAGTTCAGACGTGAGGGTCTTCAATCTTATAAATGATGTGAAATCCGCTATGGGTGGAGAATATACAGGTTGATTCTTCATTATCTATAAGATTTAGGCTCATCATTCCTAGGCTCATTTCGACAAATAATCCCTATATTTCTTCATCTGTCAAACTGTAAGGAACAGTACTTCTGGAAGATGTCCACGGCCAATCCAAGGCTACCGAAAAAGGAAAGTGACCGTTGATGTTGGGAAGCAAACCCAGGACGTCATGATCAACGAATGAGACAATCTCTATAGATTCTATGGCATTGGTAGAATTTTATTGCTCAATAACACAGCGTAGTCGAGATCGTTGGTAGGTTGTCGACGTTTCGGTCACCACGGGTAACCTGTTTTCAAGACTGGGTTTACAACCGAATGAAACTGGTAACGTCGACAACCTACCAACGATCTCGACTACGCTGTGTTATTGAGCAATAAAATTCTACCATAACATTTCACATGGCGCATCGATTTTTCGATACATTCCGAACCGATTTCATTTCTAACACATTAATTCTACGGCATTGTTTTATTTCGGACAAGTGCTTCTCAGTGCCGAACGAGATATTAGATTTAGGCAGGTCAGCATGAATAGGCAAATCTGAAATCAAAACGGACAAAACAGAGAGATGTCAAACACTCGTGGTTGCAGAATTTGCAAAATATGCGGGCCCAGAGAACTATTTGAATCCCAATTCAGTAGAAGATAATCCTCGTATTTTCGTCGTCAGGATAATGTGTGCAAATCAGTCTATTCGGGGCATTCTTTAATTATATCATAATAAGAACAGTTTGCATGCATGGGGAAACCATATGAAACAATAAAAGCCTATGCATCCATAAAGTGGTGATTCCGGTATTCGATTCATCATTCCAGTAACTGTTTTCTAGTGAAAATCAACTGAGAATATTCTGTTAACTGGGATACATGATATATCAGCCGAGAACTTGCTTGTCATATCACCGGCAGTTTACATTTCCTGTGTCAGAATTGAAGAATCCACGTGGAATTCATATTGCAGAGGCGAATACTGAAGCAGCAGAACGATGCAAACATCAAGCCGATTAGACCAACCGGTCGTGAGACGCGGACCAAAGAACAGACGATGAATTTGTCAGAAGTATCCCCCAACAAACAAAAAGAGGAATTCGGACTAGCAGACAGAACGCAGCGGGATATTTTGCAACCAGGAAGATAGCTCAGGTGAGTAGCTACCGAACAAGCCTTCAACTGAAGCAATCGGATCAGCTGAACCTAAATAATGAGTAAGAGAATCAAACTAACGGCCACAGTGAACTGGCCAGAATGCAGCCAGAATACTCGGGCAGTCGGAGGATCAAAGCTGCTGTAGCTCGGTTTGGAGAACGGACCATATAAATGGTTACATATGTTCCACGAACTTGTCCTAATACGAGTGTCCTCACTCGTCTCGCCATCTTCGTTACTATATGGAGTAAAAGGGGCACGAGCAGGAAGGATAGGTATATGAACCTTGTCGTCCTTACTGTGACACAACATGATCCCATCACCAAATCGCCTAAAAACTATAGTGTAAGACAACGAGCTGTGCACAATGACATCCTTGTCATTTCGTGCAAGGTCAGACTGGTAGAGAATCATGATGGGCATCCTAGATTCGTCCAAATAGTCTTTACCTTTTTTGTACTGTATTCTATTCGTAGATAATAAATTCTGTCTCTCTTGTTAGCCTACAGGCTTATCATCCATCTATATCAAAAATGAGCAAAACTTTGCTTGAGTTAGGTGCATTTCACTGTTTTCACTTGCATGCTGATACTTGCGTACGAATATGAGTACCAAACAGGTAACCAGCTATTTGACTTCGAACCAGCTCAGCAATGAGTTCCATGTGATAAAGCTTTCACTTCCGTGAAAAATAGAAGAAACGTTTATGTACGCTTAATGGAATAAGCAAAGCTATATGCCGAATTTTCCTTACCATGAAAGACTTGCAGAATATGCATAGCATTAGAGTACAGTTAAAAGTGTTCTCTAAGAAAATTTACACAATCGTCTAAAATTGCGGTGGTAAGTCACATGAGGTCTTTTACAAATGTTTTGGCAAATTATGGCTTATCCGTAAAGTTAAGTATCACATTCTTGCGGTGCAAACGGACAATACTTACTCACACAAATGTCAAACGAGACCACATTTAGGCATTGTTTTTGTCCCCACTGTGATTGCATTTACACAAGGGCCTATTCAAACGCATTTTAATAGCACGTTACCATTTCCTGATCGTGGCAACAGTATCTGCGAGCAACAAACGTTCGTACTGGTACGAAAGAGGGCAACCTGAATAATTTGTACAGATCGAGACAGGACTCGAGACTTGAAGACGGAGAATAATCTGAGCTGGAGAGATTCGAATGGGAAACATGCTAAAACCGTTCCCATTCTGAGCTTGCTGTGAGCTCATTTAAACCGACTTTACGCATGATTCGTAATCTGTGATCAGTCAAGCATCGGAGCCGAGAGTCATCAATACGGGTGGTATTTCGGTTGTTGCTGAAGTTAAGTGTTGTATGCCTAATGTCGGTGAATCATAATCCTACTCGACCGGTCCAATTCCCAGCTCCAGCTCGACAGGTGCACATCGCCACAGAGGATTCCCAAAACACTAACGAAAACAGTGATAAAATATTTCCCGTAATAGCAGCTCCTCGTTCCCCTGAAGTTTTGAGATTTTTTAACAAATAGGATGGAATTTCGACTTGATTATATTTTTACTATGCTGTGAGCAGCTAATTTGCATGAAACGTTAGTAAATTTTGAAGTTCGCCCCAGAATACGTGGTAAATCAGGAAAAAAAAATATTCAATTAGAATGAGTTCAACCACTGACTGACAAATGGTAACCAGTTTCTATTCCTTTATTCCTCAGGTATGTCTTGATGAAGATTCCCAAATCTGATACCGAAATTATTGGGTTTAGGAAATGCTGTAGGTCGCAGTTTAGGAGGAAGGTTTTCATTAGTTCCTATGTACTAATGGTGGCATCTCGGCTGATGATGAAACGTTTGTCCCCTGAATTCCAAGCTCACTAATCAGAGGTTGTTGAAGACGCGCAGGCATACGATTTCAGAATTCTCCGGGAACCTCACACTTCTATCCTGTTGAACAACAGTAATTCAGTGTCGGGTAACAATATGCGAAAATTCAACTCAAATCGGTCAACAAACAAAACTAGACTTGTGATCTCCGAATTCCGCTACAGATTCGCGGAAGTAAAATAAACCGAATAGTGAAGACTATGTTAGCAAAACGAAAGTGTACCACATGTCTACGACACTGATACCAATTTAAACCATGAGCACCGACAAGTCGAATCAGAACGTTGCCAACATAAGCCTTACTTCCTGAATAGGCCCCAATGAGAAGCGACATATACTGAGTGATCCGATAAGGCAGAAGTATGCTGACGACTATGGTCAGGTCACAACGGATAAGACAATTTAAAAGTGGCGTATTTTCAAATTGATTCGTCCAAAAAATACTAAAATAGTAACGAGAAATAGGGAAGCTCGAGTCTCATTCGCAAAACGATTCGTATGAGAAAAACTGCCGTGGGGCTCGATTTAATTGTTTTGATTGTTTGATTGATCAATGAGGTCAGGAGTGAATAATCGATTAGAATGTATCGTTTGCACGTCTCATATATTGCAAGATGGACCCACGTAGGTTGCTCCGCAACTAAACTGAAATTGATAAATCAGATTCGATTTGGTGTACAGAGGTGGACGTTGTTTCACCGACGGTGTGGGGATCTCAATCGTTCGATGAACAATTCTGAGGTCAGCTGCATAATATGTTCGGGCAAGTGCTGATCCAAGTGGTCGTTTGAGCAAGCAATTGATGTCATCACGTTTGAATGGAAGACAAAGGGTGACTAGTAGTTTTTCTGCTCAACAATTCGTTTGTGTGATCACTTTAGGCTTGCTGTGCCTTTCGATAAATGCATCGGGATAAGCGTTTCTAGTCAAAGATTCTTTCAGCTGTCGTAGTTCGTTGTCAATCATGTCTTCTGTGCAGATATGTCGTGCTGTTTGAAATAGTGTTCGGACCAGACCACGTTCATATTCCACAGACACAAAACTGTCAAATTGCAAGCATTGTCCTGTCCAAGTTTTTTTTTCGGTAAACAGATCTGGCGATTGTTCCATCATTTTTCCTAGTCATTTTAATGTCGAGGAAGTGCAGTGTATTTTCGCGTTCTGCTTCCATCGTAAATCGTATATTCGGATGCAGGCGATCGAGTTCATCCATAATCCATGTTGTCTCTTCTAGACTTATTGTGATGACTAGAACATGATCAACGTATCGTTTGTAAAGTTGTGAACGTTGGAGGATTTTGCTCGCCTTTTCCTCAAGACGAGCCATAAATATATGTGTCAGAATGGGACTCAATGGAGTTCCCATTGGGACACCGTCAATTTGTCTGTAAGCCCGACCAAGGAAGGAGAACGATACGTTTGTTGTGCACAGTAGTAATTGTCTAACCAGAACTGATACTGGTATACCGATTTTCAGTTGGTTTTGCTCCACATGGTCACAGATGATACGTATGATCTCCCGACCGGGAACATTCGTAAACAGTGATTGGAAATCGAATGAAGCCATGTGTTTCCCTTTCACATTGATCTGGTCCAAAAGCTTTACTACTTCTGAACTGTCTTTCATAGTGTGTCTGACCATTGATTTATGAACTGGCTCGAGCAATTTCTCCAGCCATTTGGCCAATTCGTGTTGTGGTGAATTTGTCATAGATAGATTGATAGATAGATGGATAGATAGTAGTAGTAGCAGTAGTAGTAGTAGTAGTAGTAGTAGTAGTAGTAGTAGTAGTAGTAGTAGTAGTAGTAGTAGTAGTAGTAGTAGTAGTAGTAGTAGTAGTAGTAGTAGTAGTAGTAGTAGTAGTAGTAGTAGTATTGGTCCAAGTGGCACTCCGTGTTTGTGTAGTTTCGGTAAACCATACAGTTGTGCAGTTTGAGTTCCTTTTGGCTTCAGATGGTGAGCTGTGCTTTCATCGATGAAGTGTCCTTCTAGTAGAAACTGTACTTCTGTCGATATCTGTTGTTCTAGTTCTTTAGGGTCTTCACAGTCATCTTCGAGTACAAACTTGCTGGGATCATGACGATCACCAGCTGGGAGTTGGTACGGACCCGCTGGTGCACGCCGTCGCGCTGCGCTCACTCCTGGAACGTGCGTTGCCAACGCTAGATGAGGCGTCACGGGCAGACCTGGTGGCAGACCGATTTGTGGATAGTCTGCCGGAGCCCTTGCGTGGGATGGTACGCGTCGCCCGTGCCGGCCGTTCACTGAATTTGGTCCAGCTCGCGGACGTGGCTCGAGAACTGGCCATGCTTGACGTACCTGTGGTCAATACGGCCCATGTCGGAGATTCATGGAAGGACGTCGAACTTGTGGGGGAGAATTATGAACTGGACCTTTCGAACCTGGAGGACGAACCAGTGAAAGCCGAAAAGTTGGAAGAAACCGAGTTTTCTTGCTGTGGAAACGTGGAATCTATCTTATACGAACAGCCTGAAATCCCGAAGGATATTGAAGGAAGTATACCGGAAACATTTCTGCTGGAGACTTCAATCACTACTGATGAGGTGGAAGATGTCGGAAAACTGAACCGTACCTCTGAAAATATGGAAAACTGTAACCGGGATTGCTCTGAAAGTCAACCTGATGATGGTGGAAACGAAGACATGTCATTTGCTCCAGTCTCCATTGCATCGAAAGACAACGGGTCATGTCTTGCGCAATGTGAAACCAAGACGCCGTTCAAAGTGGATACAGAAGACGTTTACCCCCTACCTGAGCAAGTGCCGGGTGAGGAAGTCCAACCTTATGCATCCCGAATGGAGACTGCTGGAAGTCATATCCAGGATGATAGGGGAATGACACAACGCATGGTGCTCAGTAACTTTGAAGTGGTCAGGCACGATGTCGTGCTGACGTGCGATAAAAGTCAAGTGTTGTGTTCAGTATTCACTCTCCACTGTTGCTATCTAGAGTCAAGGCTGGTGTCGGGGCGCATCCCGGACCGGACAAAGCACACCACCGGAGGGACTGTGGGACAGATGACAACACCGCCACGAACCGGTATTGGGGGATTTGCATCTGAAGTAAAGGAAGACTTGAAGACAGTCTGCAGGATTTGGATCGTCTTTTTCTCTTTTTTTTTGTCAGGGGGGAGGAGTGTTGTGAGTGTATTTTCGCGTTCTGTTTCCATCGTAAATCGTATATTCGGATGCAGGCGATCGAGTTCATCCATAATCCATGTTGTCTCTTCTAGACTTATTGTGATGACTAGAACATGATCAACGTATCGTTTGTAAAGTTGTGAACGTTGGAGGATTTTGCTCGCCTTTTCCTCAAGACGAGCCATAAATATATGTGTCAGAATGGGACTCAATGGAGTTCCCATTGGGACACCGTCAATTTGTCTGTAAGCCCGACCAAGGAAGGAGAACGATACGTTTGTTGTGCACAGTAGTAATTGTCTAACCAGAACTGATACTGGTATACCGATTTTCAGTTGGTTTTGCTCCACATGGTCACAGATGATACGTATGATCTCCCGACCGGGAACATTCGTAAACAGTGATTGGAAATCGAATGAAGCCATGTGTTTCCCTTTCACATTGATCTGGTCCAAAAGCTTTACTACTTCTGAACTGTCTTTCATAGTGTGTCTGACCATTGATTTATGAACTGGCTCGAGCAATTTCTCCAGCCATTTGGCCAATTCGTGTTGTGGTGAATTTGTCATAGACAGATAGATAGATAGATAGATAGAGACTGGTAGTAGTAGTAGTAGTATTGGTCCAAGTGGCACTCCGGGTTTGTGTAGTTTCGGTAAAACTTACAGTTGTGCAGTTTGAGTTCCTTTTGGCTTCAGATGGTGAGCTGTGCTTTCATCGATGAAGTGTCTTTCTAGTCGAAACTGTACTTCTGTCGATATCTGTTGTTCTAGTTCTTTAGGGTCTTCACAGTCATCTTCGAGTACAAACTTGCTGGGATCATGACGATCACCAGCTGGGAGTTGGTACGGACCCGCTGGTGCACGCCGTCGCGCTGCGCTCACTCCTGGAACGTGCGTTGCCAACGCTAGATGAGGCGTCACGGGCAGACCTGGTGGCAGACCGATTTGTGGATAGTCTGCCGGAGCCCTTGCGTGGGATGGTACGCGTCGCCCGTGCCGGCCGTTCACTGAATTTGGTCCAGCTCGCGGACGTGGCTCGAGAACTGGCCATGCTTGACGTACCTGTGGTCAATACGGCCCATGTCGGAGATTCATGGAAGGACGTCGAACTTGTGGGGGAGAATTATGAACTGGACCTTTCGAACCTGGAGGACGAACCAGTGAAAGCCGAAAAGTTGGAAGAAACCGAGTTTTCTTGCTGTGGAAACGTGGAATCTATCTTATACGAACAGCCTGAAATCCCGAAGGATATTGAAGGAAGTATACCGGAAACATTTCTGCTGGAGACTTCAATCACTACTGATGAGGTGGAAGATGTCGGAAAACTGAACCGTACCTCTGAAAATATGGAAAACTGTAACCGGGATTGCTCTGAAAGTCAACCTGATGATGGTGGAAACGAAGACATGTCATTTGCTCCAGTCTCCATTGCATCGAAAGACAACGGGTCATGTCTTGCGCAATGTGAAACCAAGACGCCGTTCAAAGTGGATACAGAAGACGTTTACCCCCTACCTGAGCAAGTGCCGGGTGAGGAAGTCCAACCTTATGCATCCCGAATGGAGACTGCTGGAAGTCATATCCAGGATGATAGGGGAATGACACAACGCATGGTGCTCAGTAACTTTGAAGTGGTCAGGCACGATGTCGTGCTGACGTGCGATAAAAGTCAAGTGTTGTGTTCAGTATTCACTCTCCACTGTTGCTATCTAGAGTCAAGGCTGGTGTCGGGGCGCATCCCGGACCGGACAAAGCACACCACCGGAGGGACTGTGGGACAGATGACAACACCGCCACGAACCGGTATTGGGGGATTTGCATCTGAAGTAAAGGAAGACTTGAAGACAGTCTGCAGGATTTGGATCGTCTTTTTCTCTTTTTTTTTGTCAGGGGGGAGGAGTGTTGTGAGTGTATTTTCGCGTTCTGCTTCCATCGTAAATCGTATATTCGGATGCAGGCGATCGAGTTCATCCATAATCCATGTTGTCTCTTCTAGACTTATTGTGATGACTAGAACATGATCAACGTATCGTTTGTAAAGTTGTGAACGTTGGAGGATTTTGCTCGCCTTTTCCTCAAGACGAGCCATAAATATATGTGTCAGAATGGGACTCAATGGAGTTCCCATTGGGACACCGTCAATTTGTCTGTAAGCCCGACCAAGGAAGGAGAACGATACGTTTGTTGTGCACAGTAGTAATTGTCTAACCAGAACTGATACTGGTATACCGATTTTCAGTTGGTTTTGCTCCACATGGTCACAGATGATACGTATGATCTCCCGACCGGGAACATTCGTAAACAGTGATTGGAAATCGAATGAAGCCATGTGTTTCCCTTTCACATTGATCTGGTCCAAAAGCTTTACTACTTCTGAACTGTCTTTCATAGTGTGTCTGACCATTGATTTATGAACTGGCTCGAGCAATTTCTCCAGCCATTTGGCCAATTCGTGTTGTGGTGAATTTGTCATAGATAGATTGATAGATAGATGGATAGATAGTAGTAGTAGCAGTAGTAGTAGTAGTAGTAGTAGTAGTAGTAGTAGTAGTAGTAGTAGTAGTAGTAGTAGTAGTAGTAGTAGTAGTAGTAGTAGTAGTAGTAGTAGTAGTAGTAGTAGTAGTAGTAGTAGTAGTAGTAGTATTGGTCCAAGTGGCACTCCGTGTTTGTGTAGTTTCGGTAAACCATACAGTTGTGCAGTTTGAGTTCCTTTTGGCTTCAGATGGTGAGCTGTGCTTTCATCGATGAAGTGTCCTTCTAGTAGAAACTGTACTTCTGTCGATATCTGTTGTTCTAGTTCTTTAGGGTCTTCACAGTCATCTTCGAGTACAAACTTGCTGGAATCATGAAGAACACTTTCCATCTTCTTCTCATAATCATTCCGATCGATCAGCACTGCTCCGGACCCCTTGTTAGGGCGTAAAACTAACAAATCAGGTCGCAACTGTAGCTCTTCAATGGCGGATGTGAATGTGCTCAGGCGTGAAGAGTGACTTATGTTTGGACGAACTCATCCGGTACTGTCGTTCCAAGTCAATCAGCTTTGCTTTGAACCAAGTCTCCGCATCTTTTCAAGTTGGTTTGACTATTTGTAGTTGTTCGAATGGATATTCGAATTGCGCCTGTGTCTTCGTGCTGTGTAATTTACTCGGTGGTATGCACAAACGTAGACCAAACGAAAGAGCCTGTAGTTGAAGTTCATTCGTGCAACCGATGACAAATTGATCACAAACGTTTCTCGTTGTTTCGGAAAATTTGGTTCGGCTAACTTGTGAACGATGGAATTGTGAAGCTTGTTAAATGTACAAAGTTTGGCTTTTCGTATGATTTCCATGCACAAATTGGTAAATTTGATTCGGCTAACGAGGCTCAGTTCGTCAAGAATTATTGATCATTCGATGCACGTGGTCTGAAGTGTCGTTAGATTTTCTTTATAATTATCAATCTGACATCGCATCAAACGTCTCAAATTCCTGGTAGAGGCACATATCTTATTCCTCCGTAAGCGTTTGCAAAACGTAATCGGGTATCTGTTGCAACGGACACATTTTGTTCCAGAAAATTAATACGAACTCGAATCGTGGCAATTTTACATCTCAATCTGACTAGGTCATCGAGGTTCATAATGGTTGATTTCGGGAGACGAGATCTGAGGAAATTTAGGCATGCTTTTCCCGAAATAATCTTGAAAAGAAAAGCCACAGTTGCAACATTGCACGATTCATGTCCGGGACGATTTCGCTGCATCTCAACATGGTGCACACTGCACAACCATACTGTTTATATAAGTTCATGTAAAACCATAATTTTCGATAAATACAGGGGAAATTTCAATAGTCAAGTTACGTCACCATGGTAAAGACACATGAACAAAGAACTGTTTTTGTTGGTACAATATTAGGTTTCCATCAATGTATGGCAATGGTTTGAACAAACCTCAAATGCCTGGTATTCTTTGCCACGTATATGACGCGAATCGCAGTGCTTCGGTCAGCTGGATGTTGCGTCATCAGAAGATGACGAGCGACGGCCGACGACGGGATCTTATGGTTTCGAACGTTGTCATTGTGCCTGTGATCTGACCCTGATTGCATCACAAAACGTTGTACCCAATTTGGAATATATTCAATCACTCGGTATTTCTGTCTTGTTTTTCATGAACACGTCTAACATCAGACGTTCCCACCTTGCCTCATGGGTGATGGTTTATCAATTGTTTCCTCAGATCTTTTTTCAGCATTCGAATATCTATTCGAACAACTACAAATAGTCAAACCAACTTGAAAAGATGCGGAGACTTCGTTCAAAGCAAAGCTGAGCACATTCACATCCGCCATTGAAGAGCTACAGTTGCGAGCTGATTTGTTAGTTTTACGCCCTAACAAGGGGTCCGGAGCAGTGCTGATCGATCGGAATGATTATAAGAAGAAGATGGAAAGTGTTCTTCATGATTCCAGCAAGTTTGTACTCGAAGATGACTGTGAAGACCCTAAAGAACTAGAACAACAGATATCGACAGAAGTACAGTTTCTACTAGAAAGACACTTCATCGATGAAAGCACAGCTCACCATCTGAAGCCAAAAGGAACTCAAACTGCACAACTGTAAGTTTTACCGAAACTACACAAACCCGGAGTGCCACTTGGACCAATACAACTACTACTACTACTACTACTACTGCTAATTATAATAATAATACTACTATTATCTATCTATCTATCTATCTATCTATGACAAATTCACCACAACACGAATTGGCCAAATGGCTGGAGAAATTGCTCGAGCCAGTTCATAAATCAATGGTCAGACACACTATCAAAGACAGTTCAGAAGTAGTAAAGCTTTTGGACCAGATCACGCTTTGGTCGCCTTAGATTATGAAAGAATTTGGAGTTCTGAATGCAAGTAGTCGCCCCTAACTAGGTTCAGTTTTGAAGCGACCCTCGCCAAACAGTTAGCCTTGCAATTGCTCTGTCAATACTTTTGAAAGTGAGGGTTGATTGTAGCATAGGCTAGTGTTCTTCAACGGTCCGTCAGTGTAGCAAGGCAATCGAATGATATGTTTCGTCTAGTTCCACAAGAGAACGAACAAAATGGGGCAGTAAAACACATCATACTGTTCTCTTTATTTTGGCATTTTTGAAACCACAGACCATTCCAAAATCCGTCCTATACAACTGTTTCTTACCTCACTTGATTCTCTAGTGAATATGAAGCTTTCTAAGGTGTCCGTCTGTATCTGCACGAAGATGCTGAAAGCAAAGACCCCGCTGGATGGCCGACTTTAGGTAATTTATCCTTCGCTGAAAGGCCTAAAGGTTAACGTCCTAAAGCAGGTTATACAGCTTGCTACACAGAAATGCTGTGTGCATACCAAAAGAGTCGCATCCTGATTGCATAAACATTAATTAGTGACCAGTTGAGAATAGTTCACAGCTTTAAGCAAGTCATTATGGGAGTTATAACGGTTGTTGTGGGAGACCAGTGGAGAGACCAGTCACATGAAGGGCACTGGAAGCCGGACTAACTTTCTTCAACTTATTACCCTTGTCTCTGCCACAAAATGTGACCATACACGGAAGGACGAATGAACTGCGCTAAGATATGTAATCTTTTACTTCAAGGTTGCTAGACCTGGGAAATGCCCTTTTTCCTCTGTCGTGAGGTATTGCGGGCACCATATCACAGCGGATACGTAATCTAACATTGCCTTCGTCATGTTACTTCGTGTTTTCATTTTTAGTCATCTTAAATGCCGTGCCGATAAAATATGCTTTATCGGGCCTAAAACTTGAAGCATTGAAAGTAAGCCTGTTTGTTAATTGACGTTCTAATATACGTTAGACTACGACTTCAAAGAAGACTGCCACCTTTTTAGTTTCTTCCCAGGGATTACCTATAAGCTTCCCTCACTACTTATAACCCTATTTTCCAGGATGTTCATCTTTCCAACGGAAGGGACAGATTCCATGAACATAACAGTTGACGGTATATTTAGTGGTTGCAGATGACCACTTTGAAATCGGGAATGGATTAGTCATATACCAGTCAGGACTTGTAACAAGTGTTATCTACCTTGGAATATGAACATGGGTAACATCTTTCAGGACAGCCACGAGCTAAAGATTCCAAATACGTAGTACAAACTTTGCACCGCATTGATTGAGGGCTTCAATTTAGAGTTTCTATTTCCAAGTCTTTAGCACGACGACCTTGCTCAAACAAAACTCAGAACGTGTGGATATACCCTAGGGAATAATGATTTCGATTACTGATAGGTGCGTATCCTTTCTCATTTAAGGAGAACTTATTCAGCATGGAAAGCAAACATTTCACAGACAGACTATTTTACAATTTGTCCTGCAGGTTCACAACAGTTTAACATTTATAAAATAAATCATTTTTACTTTAGGGAAATTGCGCTCGGGTTTATGAACATACCTCTTGGAATATGACTGTTTAGCTCTAAACCGAGGACCAGAAAGAGAACAGCAACTGATATGTTTGCTCAGCAAGGTTGAAACTGACAAGAAGGATGATAATGTTATTAAATTTGTTTTGCCTAATATATTCCGCTATAACGAGCATATCCAATAGAATCGTGTGTGCGAATAATCACGTGAACGGTAACGGAACAAATGATGTTTGCCGGTAGATCGTCCAACGACACACTCCGTTCAAAATGACCCAGGAAAGTGCAGTTCCTCTGCCGTAGATTTATGTAAATTTCACCTTCGTTTTTCAAGCTTTCATAGTAAACACTTGTACACACCCACACCCGTACTACCGAACGAATAGCATCGGACTGTTCAACCCACTGCTCGGGTCATTGTGATTCATCCATCAAGTACTGAACAACTCCTTTCGCCCAAATCATTTGTTTTGATTTCTGCGCTCTCATCGAATCATTCAAACTAATAAATTTTCCATTTATTTGAAGTAATAGAAAACGCTGTCAAGGATACCAGGAATCAATTCTATCACAATCTCAATGAAAATTTCCGTTGATTCATGAAAATTCATGCTGCAGAGAGAAAAGTCTTTTCACTTCATCCTTTAAGCATTTACGACGTAGTATGGAGTAACTGGCAATAAATATAGTTCTAGATAATATGATCTATCATTTGCAAATAGTTCTAGATAACAGAGTTGAATAAACATGCAATAAGTCCGGGGTCTTTACTACATACTAAAATCTAATGATCCTTTTCAACTCTGGTGTGAAATTATATGTGAATTGTGTGGCCAGTAAGAAGGAGTAGACATGTGCTAAAGTTGGGTGCGTGAAATGTCATAAGATTGATGAGTTTGACAATAGAAAGTACAGAGGGAAACTCTTGTTATGGCCACGGGAACAACAACAACGATTCCACAAGACCGTCCCACGAAACTGTTATTGTTGTTGCCGTGGCTCTCAACTTCGAACTTATACGGCTTCTGCCATCAAGCGTAACTGCCTACGTGGTCGTTTGCTGTGAACTGCACAAGTGGTCAGGACCGTCACCGAATCGATTGGCTGTCTACTATCAAACAAGTGTTGCAAGATTGTGTCTTTGATAGTGTGAACTGTTCCCTTGCGAAGAAGGATAGGAAAATGTCCTTCTGTCTCTGGGAACGACAAACATACCTGTCCACGGGATTATTGTTTGAATGAGTGCAAAAGTAATTACAACTGGTTCCTGGGCCCGTGAATAGTTCGCAAATTCGCCTACTTCAATAATTACAAATATTCGTTTCTCTGTGCAACCTTATTTTTTTCCTTTGGGTAAATAAGATTTGTCATTTACACGGGCTTCGACATTTATTCTTCTTCTACATAGAAATTTCATATTCCCGGAGCCGTCTCACATTTCTACATGAGTTTTCGCATCGAATACATCACGTCACTGGCGGATGATCTCTTATTTATGGTTATCTTTGGTTCATTGTTTCGACTTTAAGCGCTTTTGTTTCCCATCTGATATAAGAGGAGCGGCCACTTTTGAAGAAATCATAATTTTGTTGCTATACTAGTGCTCCGTATTAACCCACTTCCACCTGAACAGATGCGTTGGGATCTCTAGTCTCACAGTGAATTTACAATAAATCACAGGTCTTTCATATCTACTATGGGGCTGGTTTTACTCTATAAGCAAAAATACCAATAAAACCTATGAAATCCTTTCGCTGTTCGAACAGGTTCGTGATAGAAAATCTGTTAGGCTCTGCCCACCTGTCTGATCTGGGTAGCCTGTGTACTCTGTCAGCATGACGAACTAAGTCTTATTGACTGATTCGGGAACACAACTTTGGTTGTTTCGTAAGACATGTTTCACCATTATTTTAATGACCCGGTGTTTTTGAACAAACATATTGTCACCCCGGGAGCAACAAATAAAATTATGCTGCCAATCCCGATAAACGGCTGATTTTAACCTTACAGCTGGATTTCTGAACGTAATTTGTGAAGTAACGATAGGCTGTAAAATGAATTCGACTACTCTAAACTGAGGTCAGTAGTTTCGGCTTTTGCTGAAGGTGTAAAATAACTCTACCATTGATCCCGACAGGTATAATTGTATACTCGCTGAGTTTGAGCTTTTATTTGTATTTTCTGCTTTCTCATCTTGTGTGGGCTCTTACCATTTATTTCTAGAGTAAAATTCGTTTGCGGATTCAGTCTTGTAAGTATGTTCCTCCGAAAGACTTACGAATAAACTGTGTGGAGCAGACCCCAAAGATACAGACGGCCAATACACTTACAAGGAGAGCGCTGGCAGTATTTGACCCGAGTCGAATCATCACAGGTATGTGAATTGCCGGGTCATAGCAGAATGTTTTTTACAATGAAATATGAGCTTTTCTGATCCACCAGTTAGTGGTTTATACTTCTCGGGTGTGAACTGCTAACGACCGAGTTCTACGCGTAACGGTTGACCGTTCCCAACTGAAACTTGTCTATTCATAAGATATGGGCTTAGGGCTATTTCACGAAAATCTCACAGTCAAACTGGTGTATTACGCTCCAGTAGTTCTCAAGGGCAATGTCAAGTGGGTTCTCCATACGATGGTGTTGATATGACCGGGATTTTGAGACCTCGGAACTGCCGTATACAAGTGTGGAACTCATAATGCTGCACCTTTGATTCAAGTTTCATTAAGGATTCAAAGCATCTGAAGTGCAGCTGATAGCGAAACAGCTGTGAAATTCTTTCGTGGAGTTCCAGTGGGTAATAAGCGTTGACACTAGATGCTGAATCTTATCGTATAAGAGAAACTAGCAAAGTATCACATGGATAATTTTTACATGGTCGGACTGATAACTGAGAGTTAGTATCACAATAATTTAAGGCACGTCTTCATCGCTCAAGTTATACTTCCGAATACCAGTGAAGGGCAACTGGGAGAAAGCACGATTTGAAGGTAATTTATTCAGGCCGCTATTTTAGAAGTGTTATGCTTTTTTCATTCGAAAACATGACTCATGTCATTCATTGAAACGATCCAGGATAGAAAACAAGCTTGATTTTGGTGTTTTATCCAAGGTTTATTTACATCACGTTGTATAAATCAAGCATACAAAAGCCATTCTTGTTTCGTTTTTCCCGTGTTAACTGACTTTTCTGAAT